CCGATCCTCTTTGCTCCTCGCGGCTTCATGCACGACCGCCTATCCTTCCGCTACCTTGCTTCACCTTTCGACGCACCTTCGCCACTTCGCGACCGACACACGCACGTGCAACCTCGACTTCCGACAACCTAACTATCGTCCGCGACCAACGGCGTCCAACGGATCGGAGGCGAAGGCGAAACGGATCGAGAACGGAGGGAAACGAGCAAATCGAAGACGAGCGAGCGGCCAGGCGGGCAAAGATACCGTGACAACGTGTACGAAAGCGTCCACGCCAATGTCCAAACACGGTGTTCCTTCCGTTCCGCGATCACGCCGACTCACTTCGCCCACCGCCACGAAACTCTCGCCCTATGAGGGGCTGATTTGGTTGGGTTCCGCCCGGTGGCAGCACCGACGCGAGAACACCAGACTACTCGGGCCAGATATTGGCCGAAACGATAGATAGAGAAAGAGGATCGAACGGAACAAGGCCAGCTCGATGTCGATCGGATTGCGCGACGCGGATAAACGACGCGGATAAACGACGCGGATGAGAGCGATCCCTCCGCTCGGCGCGGCTCCAATTCCGACTCGGATATCGGCCAACCGTTTCCAGTCTAACTCCGTTAACCAGTCGTCCGTTCACCAACGCCGGAACAGATGTTTCGGGGAGCAAGGTGGTATCGACCGCGACCTTGAAGCGCTCGAAACGCAAGGACGAGAGCGAAGGCTCGCGAGAGGAAGATCGAGAGAGTTGAAAACGGCAATTAGGTCAATTTCCCTCCTCGTGAGGATGAGTGAAATATTTAATCGTTAAAGGTAGGAGGGGGCAGAGGTTACGCTCGAGCACATCCATTTACACCTAGTCTCACGCAGTCACACGACGAACCAATTAACCGTCATCCACGCCCTCCTCCACCCTCGGACTAAAATAGACCTGGTTCGCGAGAGCGTCGCGCGGAGGCAGCACCGGAGAACGCACGCGACCAATGCACAGGGAAAACAAACGCGGCGGAGCGTGAACGAACCGTTTCGGCAAACTTTCGGCCCAAGGAACGAGGAACGCGGAAAATGGTCACGCGGAAACCGAGTCGTTTTGGCAGCCGACGCAACGCGACGCAAGGTTAGTGAATGAACCGACTCAACCACGTGCTCGAACACGTACCGTGTTGATCGAGCTGGCGATCGTCCAGTCTCGTCCGCACGAATTCACGGCTGACCCTTGCGTACGTTTCCCTTCGCGTGCCACCGACGATCGCTTAACTGCCCTGGACATTCAAGGTCGCCCGCCCTCGAGACGACCGAACGAACCAGTTCTCCGTCTCGTTTCCGTGTCGACACCATGGTAACGCTTTCCGCGTTTGGTCTCCGCGTCGCTCGCCAAATTCCTCGATCGCACTCGAATGATCCCTCCGGACGCGAAAACGAAGGCGTCTCGTCTTCGAAGGAAACGCGACTTTCGATATCTATCGACGATCACTGGTCGCGTCGCGTCGAGAACGAGTCGGTTCGGGCACCACCCTCCCGCCGAAACTTATTTTCCTGGCGGG